GCAGGGCTCTGTTCTCTGTGCTCTGTGATGGCCCTATGAGATAACTGTTTTCTTACTCATGCAGGTATTTACAGAATTTAGTTCCAGAAATCTGAGGACCCAGTTTCCTTTTTGACTCTTGGCTGGGGGCTCCCCTAAGGTTCTATAGACCTCTTTTCAGTCTTGAAAATTCTACCTCCTAGAACCAGCAACATGATGTCAAATCCTTCTCATGCTCCCAATTCTTTGACCTTCTGTCATTGCATCTCTCTCTCTCTGTAGTCTGGAAAGGTTGCCAGCTTTTAAGTATTTAGTCCCCCTTGTAACTAGACTGTGTTTACCTGGATAAATTAGAATAATCTTCCTACCTCAAAGTCTATAACCCTAATCATGTTTGCTCAATCAATTTCACCATGCTATAAAACTCATCCACAGGGATAAGGCATGGGAATCTCTCAGGGGCAATTCCTTTGCCTGCCACACCTGGGTTGTGCTAAGTGATTTATGCCTATCTTTTTAGTTATCTCTGCTTGGTCTGTAAAAATCAAGGCTGACAAAAGTTGGTGAGTTGCTACAGTATTATGATAGGACAGGCATGGATTAAACCCAAGTCTTCTTGATTCTAAAGTTATAATGCTCTTAATTCCTATATCCCACATGTTTATCTTGTCTTCAAAGAAAAAAAAGGAATAAAATGATATCTTGAAATAGGTATTTTATTTTTTTAAATTCTTTCTTCAGGGAGGCTCCTGTGGCTCAAGAAGTAGTGCACCAGCCCTGTGTATCAGAGGTGGCAGGTTCAAACCCAGCCCCAGCCAAAAACTGCAAAAAATAAATAAATAAATAAATAAATTTCTTCTTCACAGAATGCTTAGGCATTTCATAAGTCAATATGCTTACATACATTACTTTGCCTATACCAGGCTATGCTGTGTGTGTATCTTACAGTCTATATTCAACACCCCCCCCAAAAGATGAGAAAAATGCTATTTGAAAAATAATAAAGGACCAAGAAAAAAGTATAATTTTCACCATTTCTTTTGGTAATCTTTATACAGATCAGTTTTGTATGTCAGATAGGACTCTGGGGAATTTGGTGTCTTCCAAATTAATGGCAAAGCTGCAAAACCAGAAAATATTTATTGGCCAATTTTTTAGTTTCCTAAGACTTCCTTTCTAAAAAGTAATTATTTCACTGGTTACTCATGGAACTCTACCTTGACTTGAGGCTATGGATACCAGTGAGCATGAAGAAATTATAATGCTTTCATTTCTAAAAGACGCTTTTAATTTCTAGAATGTTACTTCGCAAAATAGCATGCTCATATTTCATATGTTTGTATCTCTGATTTAGTTTTTTAATTAAAAGTTATGTTTTAAGAGTGGAGTGTAAGCATGAGAGTAAAGTCTTGTCCCTTGGGGGCATCCCTGCTGTTTGTCAGGGCAGGCATCTGCAGCTGCCCACATCCCCTAAATATCCATGCCTTTGCCCTTAGCCCCTAGCTGTGTTCTTTTTTCTGCTTTGGGCATTCTTTTTATATCCCACTTGTTTATCTTTTCTTAAAATGTACTCACTATTAATAGATGCAGTTATTTTTCCTAATTAGACTATTTTAGTTTCATTTTCTCTGCGATGCTTGCTTTACAGATGCCCCGGG